GAACGCGACATGTTGAAGTCTGCAGTCAACATCCCTTAGTACATAGCTTGTGGGGTTTAAAATCTTCCCATGGAGCCGCGTGGGCCTAAAGCCTAAACATTGGGCCCATGGGATAGCACAGAGCTGTGTATCATGGGGACCTGGCTTCCAGAGCACCAGCCTTTCCCTTCCTTTTAAACCTATTTGCACAGCATTTAGGGGACTAGAATCCCCTGGATTCCCTCTTGCCTATTCCCTGCTTTGCCTTCCAGCCTGCTTAAAAAAAGAGAAGCTGTTTCCAGGCTTTCTCCTCTGCAATGTCAGTGACAAAATAGGCAAAGGTAGTTAAACACGGGAATTTACTTGCAGCAGCACATCTGCATGGATGCGCTCCTGGACAATATTTTTTTAGCACGCAGTAATTTTTAGGACTGGCGTATATTTAAGACCCGCACAGACTGGAAGCTCCCAGCAATTCCTTCGTTCAAGGTTGTGGCGAGGGGGGAGGGAGGAAGGAGGCCGAGCTGAAGTGTTTATGGGAGGTAACGCGTGTAATTGAATCGCACTGGAGTGCACACAAACTGCCCAGGACGCTACTTGCACAGGCGGAGGGACAACAAAGAACAGAACACCCTGTTCACATTTCAGGGGCCTTTATTGGCTTGCTTCAAATGCTGCTTTCTAAAGAAAGGACACGGGATAAGTAACTCATCCGACAGGCCAAAGGAGTCACAATGGCTACTTAATTATGAAACTCTTCTAGGCACTTATATATTAATTCATGGTCTAATGTGGTGTCAAGCTGAGGCGAATAAAGGTTAACATATTCTATTAGTCCCAATTGTCACAAGAATTTCATCGAACAATATGGTTCATTAAATGCTGAATCTAATAATTATGTTCACCATAATAGAAATTATTCATATGAACATGATCTGAATAGTTGTGATTTATTAATTTAGACATAAATTTAATTAGCAATTGATTTCAATTGAATCTCACTCTGAACAATAAGTTGTGTTGTAAGCCACGTACTGAAAACAGTATCCCAAAAGGAGTAAGAAACGCTGAAGCAGGAAGCCTGGCGATATTCTCCATTCCTACTGCTCCTTCCCACTGTCTGAGAACAGCGCTCCTGTCAAGGACAGAATCCCGTTTCCAACCCCCAAGAAAAGAAGGCAATACACATCTCCCACCACATACCACTGGCTCAAGATCTCTCTTCAGGAGCACTGCTGAACAGAAGTTACAAGGGCCCTCTGAGGACAGAGCAGCATGAAGCAGCTCAACCACAGCGGATGGGAAGAGCTGCAAGAAGCCCATGTTGAGAAGCTGCAGCGTAACACATGGCCAGATAATGAGTCAAAACAAACTGCTGACTCTTAGCCGAAAAACACGAGCACCAAACCCAAGCTGCTGAGGTTCCCTGCCACCTCATCCCCGCTGCCACCAGCAGCACGTCCCATTCCCCCAGTTAAGCCCATGCATCCCACAGAGCTGTACCAAACCAGGGGCACCACCCGTGGCACCACCCCGTGTTGTCCCAGCCAGGCCACTGAAACCCGTCCTGACTCAGTCTTCCCCCTCCAAAAAACAGGGATAAAGCTGCAGTCTTGGCAGAGATCTGAGAACCTTAATTCACTAATGTCTATAAACCCCTCTGAGGTTCTTATTCGGAAGGCGTTGTAAAAATGCAAAGTATTATCACTGATTCAAACTGACCTTCCCCTTGAAATATCACCATTTGAGCTATAATTCCAAATCCTGACTCCAACCAAGTGCTACGCCGTGGGATTAACCACATTAATGCTTAAAGCTGTTGCTCTTTTTTTTCCCCCAGTGTTCACAAGCTAATGCTTGTAGGGGTCTAATCTTGGACAATTCCTTAATGATACAGATTTTCAGATGAAAATTACTGCTACATTTTCCTGACTTGAAACAGAATTTAGTCTTACACCACCTATAATGTTGGTGTATTCTTTAATTATAAATATAACATTTTCTGGATGCTCTTTCCTAATTTAAGTGTATATATCTGTTGTCTGCATACAAACTGTAAATCATTGTATTAAGAGTGATTACACACCCACTGACACAGAAAATGCATGATCGGGTTGTGAGACATAAGAGGTTTACCAGATTGAATGTGCCATGGCCACATATTCTGCAGAATTTATTACTATTTCTAATCAATCCTCCTTCCCTAAACCAAGATCGCTTAACCAGGGGACTCTTGCTATACTTCAGAAGGGCATTTCAAACTGGTGTATTTTTAAAATACAGCTAAATAGCTGCACACGGGAACGTTGTCACATTTTAAAGCACAAGGTTATAGGTGGATAACTGTCTTTTCATAGTTAGGCCATATCCAGCTTTACTTGCATGGGGCTAGGATCTGGTTTGAGTACATGTTGGCTGTTTTACACCAGGCAAAATACTCTAGTCCATGGGATGCAAGGTAAAAGTGGTGTCAACCCTACTTTTTCAGTGAATTGCTCTGCTGTAGGGCTCTGCCCAGGCAGTGTCCCTGCCATGGTCTGTCAGGGTTCTCCAGCAAGGGGCCTTGAGCCTGTGGGATTTAACAACACTCCTCCTCCCTGACTGCAATGCCAGGCTGCTGTGGTTTCATTAGCTGCCTGAAAAGTGACACAGGGGGGATCATTATTATCATTATTATTAAAGGAATAAATAGTTGTGAATCTTGTTAACCCATGAATCTTGATAAAAAGCAGATTAGACACCTGTGGTAAAGGCATAATGCTGATTTTAGATGTGGTAAACTTGGATGAGGCAGAAAGGGCTCGACAGCCCCATCGTCGCAGGAGCTAGGATGCTGTGACAGCAGTAGAATAATTAAAAGTGGTGCCATTACATTAATTCTAGCACCAAAAAGGTCACTCCTGGGGTATGGACAGGCCTGGCCTTGCTCCCTAGGATGGGCAGCCATGCGGAGGGCAGGTCTGCATCCACCCCTACTTCCTGGTGAGCCCATGGAGCGAGATGCTGTTGTGGCCACCAGCCTGTCTGGCTGCTGTGGATGGATGACTGACTGCTCCCAAGGGTGCGCAGGGACCCCTGCAGCACACAGCAGCACTGCAACACGCAGCTCTGCACAAAGCCTTCCTACCTGAGGCGTGATTCAAAATTTAGGGCAAAAGAGGCAAACAGGCCCCTGCACCAAAAGCAGTAATCTCTGCAGCGCTCTGTGTTGTGCTTTGGGGCACACCATCGGGGTGCTGCAGAAATACCTCAGCAAGCAGAATTTTTTCTTATGAACCCTGCTCTCTGCTTTTCACTCCCCAACTCAGCTTCCTGTTTTTAGAGTCCCAGAAACACAGCACTTCAAGGAATAGCCAAAGGATGAAGACATCTACATATTTTGTTGCAGAATCTCAGACTACAAAAGTCTGACAAAGGACAGACAGAGGATGAGTGAGATTAGCAGGCCAAGTAGGTCAGGACCAGTGTGTTTCTCAGGCCAGTACAACACAGAACATTGAGAAAGCTTCCAGAAGGCGTAAACAGAAATGCATGTTTGAGACAATGAATGCCCTAATTGGATGCCCATTCTCACAGCTTCCCTCAATTAAGGAGAATCATGGATAATTCTGCCAAGATATTGATGGACAATGTAAGCATTGGCTTGAAAACTTTTGCAATTTAATGAACCAAACCCTATCCAGTTGTGAATTACAAGTGATCCAAAAATAAGTCCAGCAGAAAACAGTGACAGTTAAGTCAAAAAGTTACGAAATGATCAATCATTGAATCTTAATAATTTCCTATCAGAAATACTACAATACAGAGCTTTTGATTTTATGTCTTGGCTTAATCAAGTTTTCTCAAATGTTGGAAGACCATTAATGTTCCAGAAGACAGAATAAGCAGCTGCATTATACCTTTAAATTTTAAAGAAAAGGAGAGCCAACATTTGCTCAAACTGCAAATCTCACTCTTAATCTCACTCTTGGAAGGACAGTGTGAGATTAATATGGAATCAACACAGGTTTTAGTCTCTGCATCAGTCAGCTTGGTGTCCTGCTATGCCATTACAACGTGGGATTGTATGTATGTAATATGGGATTGTATTGTATGTAATGTAAAAATACATTACATCGTATTTTATCAACAGCTTTGAGGCCTGGTTTACTTACTGCCCAGGCTGTTAATTTGGAGGTGTTTCTGTCACAGCTGCACTGCAACAGATGGAGAAAGCTCTAGAGTGGTCCTGAGCTTTTGGAGTCACCCAAGGACACCAATCTTGCAGGCGGAAGGCTCCAGAAACTCCTCTTACACCTTATCTCCCCTTCATAGAATCACAGAACCATTAGGGTTGGAAAAGCCCTCCAAGACCATCTGGTCCAACTATCTCCTACCACCAATGTCACCCACTAAACCATGTCCCCAAGCACCACGTCCAACCTTTCCTTGAACACCCCTGGGGACAGTGACTCCACCACCTCCCTAGGCAACCTGTCCCAACTCCTGACTGCTCTCTCTAAGAAATGTCTCCTCATTTCCAACCTACACCTCCCTCCCCTGGTGCAACTTGAGGCCATTCCCTCTAGTCCTATTGCTGGTTATGTGTGAGAAGAGGCTGACCCCCAGCTCCCCACACCTTCCTTTCAGCTAGCTGTAGAGAGCAATAAGGTCTCCCCTGAGCCTCCTCTTCTCCAAACTAAAAAGTCCTTCGAATGACATCACTATAAAATCAGCCCAGGCTTTGGCTTTGCCTACAAATCCCATCTTCTTGCAGCAGGAAATGGCAAGGGCAATGTGAGCACAATACCAGGGTTTGGTGCAACTAATTTATTTAGCACCAAGACAGAGACAACTCAGGAGCAGTGTAGACATAGGCCATATGTCTGGTGCAAAAACTTCAATGTGCTATAGTTATCTAGGGCATTTGTATTGTGCATGGGCTATCAGCAGAATCAGGAGTACATAGGGAGATGTTCCTCCACTGGCATTATTCAATATTTCATATTCTAAGACCAAATTAGAAGGAAAAATACTTGAAGTACAAATAGTCATCTTCAGAGAAACTCAAATATGTGGTAAGAGGGAGAAGAAATTAGAGAGCTTCCAGAGTGAAAATAAAAAAATGACAGCACACACTCAAAAATCTGCTGCTCTGATTTCATTGCAGACCAGGTGGTATTTGGCTGTTCCCAGTGCAGAGTGGTTTTATGCTAGTTGAGAGCAGTCAAACCCCTTGCTTCATAAAAGAAATGGGAAGATTGGCTCAGCAGCCTCATTTAAACTTGCCCTCAAATGTTTGCAGATCGACCTTGGGAAAAAGGATGTATAAACACATGACCTTGTATAATAATCCCATTCCTCTGGCTTCTCTGCATAAAAACACAGGCTCACACAGATTTAACAGCATCATATTAAATACATTTTTGCAAAGATCCTTTCGAGTCTACAGCAGCTTTTGACTTCTGAAACTTGGTGCTCAGCACATCACTGTGAGGTCAAAATGGCAAGAAGTGGAACAGAAGGTTTGGGTTTTCCAAATGGCAATAGTAACACTCCAACACCTTATACTCTTGCTTGCACTGTTGCTTTGTCTGATGTGTGCATAGGAGCATTTAAAAAATACTAGAAAGTCATGACTGGCCTGGCTCCTGGGAAACCTGACAAATCAGCAATGATAGGATTACAGATTGCTAACAGCAGCACTGGGAGATGCATTTTACTGACTACACCAGGGTGATCAGACCCATATGGTTAGAAGAACTGACCAGGAACATGAAAAGAGGGCACAATCAGCAACCTTGGGAGCCTTCACTTAAACGAGAACATCCAGAGAGCATTAATTAGTGAGAAAACTAAAGGGCAATGGGAAAGGGAGTCTTCAAGGTGGGGCATCAGCTCAGTGCCCCAGTGGGCCTGGCCAGCAGCACAGCAGTCAGAACAAATCGCAGAAGACAAAGCTGAAGGACTCCCCGGGAACCACAGCTCAGGCAGCTGGTACAAGGTCTAGGTCCATCTTTGCCCTGGGTGATGGAAAAAAGGAGATAACGCACTGAGAGCACCAGTGCTGTAGCAGGCACAGGCTGCATAGCCTGTAAACAAAGAGGAGGACAAAACAAGATAAGCTGCCTGACAGAAGATGCCATGAGGTATTCAAAAAAAAAAGCAGGAGGGGGGTTGTACCTTTGGTGACATTTACCTTGGTGCAAGAATAGTTTTTTGAAATGAGGACTGTATAATTAACATTTGAAGTAGCTACATACATAGGACAGAACTGAACACCATCAAGCATTTTAAACTGTAACAATCATGCAGCTATCAGGCTTTATGATTTTAAAAACTTGAGAGTGCTCAGAAACTAAATCACTTCAGGTAGTCATTTCACCCACATTTTCTTCCGTTTGCCAGCACACTCAGGTGCTCATGAATTGGGAGGAGTAGTGTAGAATCATAGAAACATCTAATCTGGAAAAGACCTTCAAGACCATCAAGTCCAATCATCGACCTGACTTACCTAGTCCCACCACTTCACCATGTCCACACACCTTTCAAACACCTCCAAGGATGGGGACACCATTCCTTCCCCAAGCAGCCCACTCCAATGCTTGGCCAACTTCTCTGTGGAGAAATTCTTCTAGTATCCAACCTAAACCTGCCCTGGCACAACTTGAGGCAGTCAAGCATTTTATCACCTGCCACCTGAGAAATGAGACTGACACTCTCCTTTCAGGTGGTTGTAGGGAGTGATGAGGTCTCTCTTCAGCCTGCTCTTCAGATTGTGCAGCCCCTGTTCCTCAGCTGTTCCTCATAACTCTCTTTTCCTAGGCCCCTCACCACCTTCATTGCTTTTCTCTGCAGGTGTTTGAGCAACTCAATGCCCTTTCTGTAATGAGGGACCCAAAACCGAACACAGTACTTGAGGTGCAGTCTCACCACTGCCGCATACAAGGGGACAATCACTTCCCTCGTCCTGTTGGCCAGCACTGGGATTGCAGTGGCAATGTGTTGCAGATTTAGCTAATAGTTGGTGCAAAATACTTCTTCCTGTATACAGTGCATTTAGTTGGCCTACCAACTTCCCATACCCCGTTGAAAATATTGCATAAGGGTCTCCGAAGGTAGATGGTGTCATTATTGTCCCAGATTTGATGATGTCCAATGCCACAAGACCAAATTCAGTCAAGCTCTTAAGCATATGCCTAAACTAAGTACATGAATGTCCCCTTAAGCCAAAGACTCTGAAGTTACTAATAGGTTCCAAGATGTGCTTAAAGACTTCAAGTGGAAGGCCTTTAAAATGGCTATGTAATGATATCTGAAGAAAATCTTAATGCAAAATCACAAATATACATCAAAATACTCCAATTTATTAATATAAAATGCATGCAAGCATAGTGTGCAAGTATTTGTGTGCATATGTACATCAAGTCATCAGTGTGATTCTTTCTTTTTTTTTTTTTTTTTTTAATAGGGAAAAATACTCTGGTAAACGTTTCCAGAAAATAAAAATGGTTACAGATAACAAAGGATATATTCATGTTTTTAATTCAAAGGAATACTCTCTATTCTTCCCTTGCCTAGCTCTGACACAAAGTGTCCTTATCGTATGATCACAGAAATGTTCTTGCTACTCGGCATTGCTTTAAATTGCTAGTGTGTGTTTGTTTGTTTGTTTAAGTCTCTTACAAATTTTACAAGGCTGCACACACTTAGCAGGGCTCCATTTTCACATGTGTCTCTCTTCCATAAAAGCTGCTCACTTATTTTAAATATAACTACATGCCAAGAGAAAATGATTACAAAGAGCGCTGTCATTAGTTTTGTACCATCAGGACAGTGTTTATATGAGTTTATACTACAGAGGTACTCGTATTTGAATAACACATGCACATTGTCCTCAGACAAGGAAAAAATGTCCAACCAACCATATAAGCCAAGGCACAAAATTTAATTAGGAAGATAAGAGTTGCTTTTTTAATTTTTTTTAGGTTCCAGAAAAAGATAATTTTAGGCGTAAAATTAGCATCTTCTAATAATCTTAGACAAAAATGATTTTGTTTTGCTTTGGTTTGTAAATTAGCTCATGATTAAAGTATCTCTCTAGTTGAGCTTCATTGTCTTTTTGTGCCTATTTTCTGAATGCAACCCTGACCTGAATACTCTTGTAGCTCAAGTACAAGATTTGAGAGCATGAGAGGAACAATTACTATAAAGTGAAGTACTTACAGTTTTACTGCAAAATCAATGAACTTTCAAGTTATTTTTATCATATTTTGCAGCTGTTCTGTTTGCTTTGAATGATGTTTATCACATCAAAAACTGTAGTACTTTTAAAGGATGCTTTCTCTGGAAACTTCCTCCACCTTTATTTCCTTGCATCACCTGGTGCTATAAATGCCCCTTCCCAAAGACATTTTTATCCCGTGATTCTCCCATGCCTCAGAAACGATCTCTCTCAACACTTGGGTCAGTGACTTTGCTTGGTCCCTGCCCTGTTCTCTCTCACTGTTCCTTCAATGAGGAAAAGTTCCAGGTTCCCAGGTGCTTGGCTTAACTCACCGTTTTGCGGCAGTTCAAGTTATCTGTCACTGTTCAAGGCTACCTCTCTGACACTTTTACTGCCTGAAGGAACGGTCCCACGTGATGTAGGTGTGCGGGAGCTCAGGCTGCCCCATCAGCAGCTCACAGTGAGAAGCAGAAAGGTGGCACTCTCCCATGGCTCCCGATCCATGAGGTCATCTGTGGACATTACAGGTAAATACTACACCAACCTCAGTGCTACAGGGTTAGAAACACCAGGCAGTATTTACCATATTTACCTGCTGCTCCTTCTCAGCAGCTGTGGGTTCTGCTGGATACTAACGAGCTAACTCCACAAATCTTCCTTCTTGGGCAGGGCTCCACTAGCAGTCCCTTGGACTGCAGCACAACTGGTGTAATTATTGTGGTACTCCGCTCTATCAGCCACTACACACACACTTACTAAGCGGATGGCCTCTTACTTCAGATAATTTACAGTCCAGGTTACAACCAGATGCAACAGGGGCAATGTAAACGCATGGGGAAGAGCAAAACAGAGAGAGAATGAGGCGACAATAAAAGGCAAACAAACAAAATAAACCCCAGATATATATCAACTGGCATGGTCTTGTAGGCATTGCAGCGGGAGAGAGCTTATTCATGACGCTATACCCAGCAGCACTGTATAATAAAATTATATTTCGTACATTTACCAGTACATAAAATTAATGCAGCTGTGTAATTCCTATTATAATTCCTTGTATAATTCATATCACTCCTATCTCCTTTCTGTTTAAATCAATAGAAATTTAATTTTACTTAAATGCTTACTGATCACCAGTAAAACATTTGCTTTTTTTTTTTTTTTTAAACCTGATTATTTGTTTTATCAGAACTAATACAAAGATGTACTCATGCTGTTTCACAGTGCAAGTAACTGGCAGTCACACCTACTTTTAAAACACATTCACTGACCTTCCAGACAATATCCTTGGATACTTCTGACCAAAACATAGATTACACAAGTTTTACAGTGCACTGTCCTGCTATGCAAAGATCACTTAGACCAGGAGTAAAGGAGCCTTGGTGTTGCTGTACTATGGAATCTGACCACACATGCTAAATGAGGTAAAAATCAGTTTAACAATTGAGAAACATAGACAAAAATATAAGTCTGTTACTGTTAATAAGCGGGCTTACATCTATGGTGCAAGTGGTTTCAGCTAGGAAACAAAGATTTTTGAATCCCTGGAATGCAGATGTCACTCTTCCGAGTGCAAAAAAAAAGTCACAATTACACAGAATTACACAGAATTACACAGAATTTCTAGGTTGGAAGAGACCTCAAGATCATCGAGTCCAACCTCTAACCTAACACTAACAGTCCCCACTAAACCATATCCCTAAGCTCTACATCTAAACGTCTTTTGAAGACTTCCAGGGATGGTGACTCCACCACCTCCCTGGGCAGCCCATTCCAGTGCCTAACAACCCTTTCAGTAAAGAAATTCTTCCTAACATCTGACCTAAAACTCCCCTGGCGTAACTTTAGCCCATTCCGCCTCGTCCTGTCACCAGGCACATGGGAGAACAGGCCAACCCCCACCTCGCTACAGCCTCCCTTAATGTACTTATACAGAGCAATAAGGTCACCCCTGAGCCTCCTCTTCTCCAGGCTGAACAAGCCCAGCTCCTTCAGCCGCTCCTCATAGGACTTGCTCTCCAGGCCCCTCACCAGCTTCGTCGCCCTTCTTTGGACCCGCTCAAGCACCTCGATGTCCTTCTTGTAGCGAGGGGCCCAAAACTGAACACAGTACTCGAGGTGCGGCCTCACCAGAGCCGAGTACAGGGGGACGATCACCTCCCTAGCCCTGCTGGTCACAGTGTTTCTGATACAAGCCAGGAAAGCTGTTTCAAATTATACTGCTATTCCTATGAACATCTTAATGCAAATAGAAAAAGTATGTGTGTTTTGGTACAAAAGCATCACAAAACAAAAATAAATACATATTTAAATGTTAGCCTTGTTTAAATTTAGGATTTGTTAAATTTCAGAATTGTATTCCATGCTCTTTTTTTTATGTTATACTAATCTATTAGTATTTACTGTAATCTGTCAATATTTATAGTGCATACATATATACACATACTGGTGTTTTTGTACTTTACAGTTAAAAGGCTGAGAGAGCTGCTACTTAATCCTTCTGGAACACAATTTTCTTTTCTCCAGTTTGAGTGCCTTAAAGCTGTTTGGCACTAAAGCAGGTCAGGTCTTTCATAGTTCTCTTTAAAAAGTTTTGTTCTTTCAGATACTGTGTACGTCACAAAATAAAAAATGAAAATACATAACGATGAAGGAAATTTTGCTTCTGACAATAATTGCACATGAAAATATTGTGTAAATCAGACATTGGTAGGACTTGATAAACTTCATAGCTGTTCACATTAATGGTGTTACCACTTATTTTCATCTCCTCCATACCATCTGAATCCCTATTATTTCCCATTTTGAATCCAAAAGCCATCATTAAACTGGAGCACATCTTACAGCACAATATGCAATATTTTCCAGTGACAGAGAAACCACTTCAGCCCTTAAGTTGTTCCAACAGTTAATTATCCTCCTTGATAAAAATGTGCCTTATATCTAGTCTAAATTAGTCAAGCTTCACCTTCCAGCTCTGGACTGATGTATCTTCCACCAATGTTACTGCTTGTATTTTCCCCCTGTAGATATTTTTATCACACTTTAACCTTCTCTTTGATGAACAATATGTATTAAGAGCCTTGACCCTCACATTCCAAAAGAGGTTTCCATTCAGGTAATTGTTTCTGTCTCTCTTCCCTGAACTCCAACCTTTTTAACTTCATGTTGAAGCGTGGCCCCTCAGAGTGGACAAGGTAGCAGCTGCTCCCTGTAAAGCCTTTCCCTTTCTCCAAGTCCAGGGATTTGTTCCTCTGGCCACAGTCAGCTGCTTGTTCACCTGTAATCTACAATTTCTTTGCCAGGGCTTCAGCACATTCCCAGCATCTTGTAACATGATTTCAGCTACTAGAAGAGACAGGTAGAAAGAAACAGAAAGAAAGTTGGAAAGAACCACACGTCTGCGTGCTTGGTTTGATTCTGCTGCCACCTGGAATTCAGCTGTGCATAGGTGTGCCTTGGAAGCAGCTTTCTACAGCTTTGAGGCTTAT